TTGTTAACTGAAGTATGCCAACATAGAACATTGTTTTTGTGTTTAATAGATTACCCTAAGAAAGGCTCAGGGCTACACTGGAATCTTGAACCATTCAATGTAGTCACCGGCTCATAAAGACTTTTTATTGTCTTAAAATCATATCTGAATTGACTTCTCTGGTGGACACACCATAACGCATAGATAAACACAGAAACAAAAATAAATCTTTTTAAAAATGCAAAAAGGGAGGGAGCAGAAGGTAGACTTTCCAGGAGGGGAGATACAGTCCACGAAACAGTGAGGGCTGTTTCCTCACAAGACTGGAGTTTTCTAAGTCTGGGCTTGCTGGGGGATGTCACCTACTGGTCACACAGCTCCCCTGGGGGATGTAGCCTGCTGGTCACACAGCTCTCTTCCACAGTGCTCCTCTTCAATGAGACAGGAGACTCAGCTTCCTGGTTCTGAGCAACAGCAGCACCATGATCCCCAGTGGTCCCCAGGGACACTTGCTGCTTGTGGGGAAGGGAAGGACCGAGCTAGGAGGAGGGAGAGTCAATGATGAGAACAGAGATGCTAAATGAACTGAGAGCCTGGCCCCTGCACTCAGCAGTTAGGAGACTTGGAACTGCCAGTACCAACTATCTATGGATTCCTCTTTGAGATTTATTTCATATAAGCCCATCAAGATGCCAGTAGGAGTACAAAACATGTGTGGAATCTAAAAGAGCCAAGATGTTAAAAAAAAAAAAAGACATTATTAAAAGCCACCTGCTTTTCAAGTGGAACGTATTTACTAGGAAGTTGTGGTACTGGGTACCCTGTGTCATCAGTGAGGATCAGCCAAATGTAATAGAACGGCCACAGCAGATTCCACAGATACAGTTTTGTAGTCTCAATGGAGTGTAAAGGCCCAGTCTCTTCTGAGACTCAAAGCAATCTCTCAGTTGTGACACAAGAATCTCAGGACATCGAAAATGCAAGTGGCAGACAAGAATGTAAGCGCCTGACTTGGTTGACTTTGAAAATGTTTGCTCTTCCAAAGACGCTGACTGACAAGAGGGGGAGAAAAGTGTGTGAGTGATCTGCTCAATAGAACCCTTGCTAGGCACATCCTAGACTCAGTTTCTCATCCCTAGCCCTGAAGAAAAAGGACAAGGAAAATGGAGAAGAAGAAGCGGTAGTGAGGGGAAGAGAAAGAGGAGGAGGTGGTAGTAGTGGCATGGGGAGCTGAGGAAGCCTTGAATGGATGTATACAGAATGGATGAGGTCATGAGTGACTGTGTATTACTGACCAGAACCCCAAGGCCTCAAACCCATGCCTTCCATCAGTTGAGCGAGGCTCAGAGGCTTAGCAAAGCCTTTCCTATACCAATGAGGCTCGGAATTGACAAAGCCTTCCTCTGGCCCAAGTACCAAAGTTTTCAAAGGATTGACCAGTGTGTAAGGGTTGACCAGTGTATGCTGTGGAATATTTCTCTACACTGTGTGAAAGTATGTCACTGTGATTGATTTAATAAAAAGCTAACTGGTCAATAATTAGGCAGGAGGTATAGCAGGGACTTCTGGGCAGAGAGCATTCTGGGACAAAGAAAGATTCAACAGCCAGACACAGAGGAAGCTGGGTGGGCAAAATGCAGATGAGGTCACGAGTGTGTGGAAGAATGTAGATTTAAAACTATGAGTTAATTTGAGTTATAAGAGCTAGTTAGAAGCAAGCCTAAGCTAAGGCCAAGCTTTCATAATTAAAAATAAGTCTCCTTGTCATTTTTTGTGAGCTAGAGGCCCAAAGAAAAATGTGTCAATAAGTGTACGTAACAGCTAGCTACTGCAGCTTCCTCCCCCCACCCATGACTGTAACCTGAGACTGCTCCCCTACAGAGACCTCCTATGAGACTAGCTAATCTGTCCTTCTGATGTGCAAAATAAACCTGTTAAGGTTGGTGCTGCTCAGTCAGAGTGAGCAGGGCCCTCCTGATTCTAGCCCCCCCCCCCCCCCTCTCTCTCTCTCTCTCTCTCTCTCTCTCTCTCTCTCTCTCTCTGTGTGTGTGTGTGTGTGTGTGTGTGTGCGCGCGCGTGTGCGTGTGTGTGTGTGTGTGTGTGTGTGTGTGTGTGTGTGTATGACTGTCTTTTCTTCATTTCCTTGATGTCCTGGTCAGATTTCCAAGATTAAGTCAGGCTAGACCCTGTGAAGAGGGGCATGGGAAGAGAAGGAAGGCTAATAAGAAGAGGAGGAGGAGAGAAGAGAACAAGGAGGAGGAGATAATTAAAGCACACACCAGTAAAGTGTGTTAAAGAAGAGCTGTTGGGGGGTGGCTTAGACCAGCGTTTCTCAGCGTGCTTTCTGTGGCCCAGGTGGCTCCCTTAATGACACTGACTCACCCAGAGCTGTGTTATTCTTCTTTCAACGTATTAAAAACAAAACAAAAATTTATTTTGGTTTAAAATGTTTGACACACCTCTAAATTTCCCCTTTTAAAACAAAGTCTTAAGTAAGCAACTGTTTTCTTCTAAATGTAATATATTTGTTTTATTATTCCTCCTGTTTGTTTTTGCAGTATCTTTCTAAAGACAATTCACATTGGGCGATTGTGTACATAATAAAGCATCCCTTCTGTACCAGCGAGATGGCTCAGCAGGGAAAGGTGCTTGCCTCTAAGCCTGAGATCTGAGTCCATTCCCCAGGACCAGACCATGCAAGGAGAGAACTGACTCGGATGAGCTGACCTCTGACCTCCACAAGTATGCCATAGCAGGAGTTCATACCACTGCAAAATAAATAAATATAAAACTTAAAATGAAAAATTCCTTTTAATGAAAAAGAAAAGAAATAGCAACAGACAATCCAACTGCTTAGAGAAAATATGCCATTCACTTATCCAACGATGGATTTGGGACAAGAAGAGGTTGTGGGCTCTCAAAATTTAAGAAGGAAACAAAGAACTCTAAAAGACATCAGGCATAATATTTAAGCAAGTTTACCAGCACACACACTACAGGCAGAGACACCGTAGCAGCACACACACTACAGACAGAGACACCGTAGCAGTACACACACTACAGACAGAGACCCTGTAGCAGCACACACACTACAGACAGAGCCGCTGTAGCAGTATACACACTACAGACAGAGACACCGTAGCAGCACACACACTACAGACAGAGACACCATAGCAGTACACACACTACAGGCAGAGACACCGTAGCAGTATACACACTACAGACAGAGCCGCTGTAGCAGTACACACACTACAGACAGAGCCGCTGTAGCAGCACACACACTACAGACAGAGCCGCTGTAACAGCACACACACTACAGACAGAGCCGCTGTAACAGCACACACACTACAGGCAGAGACACCATAGCAGCACACACACTACAGACAGAGCCGCTGTAGCAGCACACACACTACAGACAGAGCCGCTGTAGCAGCACACACACTACAGACAGAGCCGCTGTAGCAGCACACACACACACACACACACTACTGAGAGACAATGTAGCAGTTGCTTTTCTTGTTGCTGTGACCAAATATCAAAGAGTGAGCAATGTCAACAAATCCAGATTATTTTGGCTCAGAGACTGATTTGATTCAGTCCATCCTAGGGGAGGAAGCCATGGTGACAGTAGGCTGTGCAGCTGTGCACATCTTAGCCAACCAGGAGCAAAGGAAAGCTGTCAAAACTCCTAGACTGGCTCTAACCTTTTGTGCAATTACTTCTTCCTAACCGAAGCATTCCCTTCTTGAGAGTGTGCTTAAGATCAAAGGAAACATGGAACATAAGACATGGAAGGCCTCTCCTGAGATTATATGAGCAGTAACGATGGTTGGAGAGGAGACTCTTCAGTGGAACTGCCTGCAGGCTGTGCAGGGATCTCCAGGGATGCTGCTTTACCAAGTTATCTGATGCTGGGCTGGGCTTTTCGGTGCTGCAGCTGACTGTAAGCTATCCATGCTCTTGTAAGTGCACCCCACCCATACTTCTGTCAGTTGTACCCCAGTCCCGCTGGCTCACTAAGATGGACAGACTTTTGGTCTGTTGTCTGGGACGTACTTGGGATAAACAGACATTTGTTCATAACTCCCCTGGAAAAGTCATACCACAGCTCCCTTGAGCAGCTTCAAATTAAGTCCCACCTTCCAGAAATTCCCTCGCCTTCCAGACAGCACCACCACTGGGGACCAAGTTCAAACAATTGAGCTCACGAGGGGTATTCCACAGCCAACTGCCGCAGATACCCAACACACTGAGAATCGTGGAGATTAAAATAGAAACCACGAGTTCTCACCTCCTGCCACTCAGAATGACTGACAGTTAGGAAACAGGAAAAAGAGTTGAGGAGGATGTGGAACTGAGGCCTCACCCTGGCCTTGTGGGAACCCACAAGGGCCTGACTCTAAGGGAACAACCTAATAGTTTCCTGTAAATTACAGTAGACGTTTACATAGGACCACGCTTGGCTCTTCACGAGGTTAGGAGTGACAAGGAGGCTAATGTTGAAACATGCACACACACATGAATTCACAAACATAAATACATGCACACACATGTACAGCACACACACATAACTCACACACATGCACACATCATACATACACAAAAGAGCTCATGCTCATATATATTCTCACATACACATAAACACCACTAAAGCACACACATGCACTCCCAGACATATACACCACACACAAGCTCTTGCACATATGTGTACTCATACCATATATATATATATATATATATATATATATATATATATCATACACACATGAGCTCATGCACTCACATACATGTATACCACATACATAAGTTTATGTATACACACATGCATGCATGTACACATGCACACAAATGCAATTAATGCTAGCCCTGGGCATTGCGATGCAGTGATAGTTAACTGGGTTGACCCTAGGCTTCCTGCTCCTGGAGGGTGTCTTGCTCTTGGTCCTATGTGCTCACTCGTGTGTGCAGCTCCACAAATTCAGGTGGAATAGTGAACATCTTTAGCATCTTAAGAATTTAATATGCTCTCTTTGGCAGCACACATACTAAAACTGGAACTCTACAGAGGTTAGCATGACCCTTGTCAAAGATGATATACAAATTCACAAAACATTCCATATTTCTAAAACATTTTTTAGCTGTCAAAAAAAGAATTTAAGAAATAAACTTGCACAGCCGAGCATGGTGGTACATGCCTTTAACCCCAGCGCTCAGGAAGCAGAGGCAGGAGGATCTCTATGAGTGTGAGGACAGTCTGGTCTATAAATCGAGTTCCAAAACATCCAGGGTTATTATTTTTATTTTTTAATTTATTTATTTATTAAAGATTTCTGTCTCTTCCCCGCCACCGCCTCCCATTTCCCTCCCCCTCTCCCAATCAAGTCCCCCTCCCTCGTCAGCCCAAAGAGCAATCAGGGTTCCCTGCCCTGTGGGAAGTCCAAGGACCACCCACCTCCATCCAGGTCTAGTAGGTGAGTATCCAAACTGCCTAGGCTCCCACAAAGCCAGTACGTGCAGTAGGATCAAAAACCCATTGCCATTGTTCTTGAGTTCTCAGTAGTCCTCATTGTCCGCTATGTTCAGCTAGTCCAGATTTATCCCATGCTTTTTCAGACCCAGGCCAGCTGGCCTTGGTGAGTTCCCGAGAGAACATCCCCATTGTCTCAGTGTGTGGGTGCACCCCTCGTGGTCCTGAGTTCCTTGCTCGTGCTCTCTCTCCTTCTGCTCCTGATTTGGACCTTAAGATTTCTGTCCGGTGCTCCAATGTGGGTCTCTGTCTCCTTTCATCGCCTGAAGAAGGTTAATATTCAGGAGGATGCCTATATGTTTTTCTTTGGGTTCTCCTTATTTAGCTTCTCTAGGATCACTAATTATAGGCTCACATCCAGGGTTATTACATAGAGAAGCCCTGTCTCAAAAAGCAAATAAACAAACAAATAAAACCCCTCCAAAACACAAACAAAAAAGAAATAAAGAAGCTTTTATTCATTCTTTTCCTATGCTGAGATATTCAGAACAGTATATGTAGCATGTGCTTTAGTTATTGCAACTCGCACATCTGTGCAAACACTTTAAAGATATGAATGATCATTTCCACACCTCCACACTGTCTTCACGTGTGTGTACAAGTCAGTGCACTGGTCCCATGTGCATCTCAACAGCAGCACAGCCTCCCCAGGCCTGGGGAGCCGGGCCACTCCTGACCAGATCATGGCCTTCCCATGCCTGGCAAGATGGACTTGGAGTCACTGCTGACCAGTTCCTTGCTTATTCTTGTGGTAAACTGAACTTCCCGTTTCTCAAATGAGCACCTTGAGTTATGCTTATTGCAATTTCGATGAGCAGCCAGGCCTGGTGGCTCAAGCTCTCATTCCAGCTACATGGAAGTCTGTTGTAGGCGAATCTCAAGTTAAGGCCAGCTTGGGCAACTTAATGAGACCCTGTCTCAATATAAAAAGCAAAAGAGGCCTGGGGAGCACCTCGGTGTTAGAGGACCTTCGCAGCACATGTAAGTCCTTGGGTTCCATCCTGAGAAATGCCACTAACCCTGCCAAATGCTGGGAGGCACTGCTGTGAAGTGCCTGCGTGGGTCACTTGCCATTGTACAGTTTAATTATCTGCCTTTCCTTGCTGCTTCTCAGGAGTCTTTTTGGAGAGTGGTAGATACCCCTGCACCACCACCACCCTCCCCTGCATGACCTTTTCACTGCTTATGGGATTCTTCTGCACTTTATTGAGCTGTGAGAAAGTGGAAGGAAATGTGCACTCACAGCCGCTGCTGAACGTGCCCATTTAGTCACAACTGCCTTCTCGCCCTATACTGCAGCTGGACCCCAGTATTCCTGTCTCCTCAATAGCAGAATGTCAGTGTGATGTGCACTCTTTCATCAAATGCTTGCAGCCTCCAGCCCACCCTCGCCCTCTGCAGGTGAGTGTGGCCAGGAGCTCAGCTCTGGTCAGCAGGCTGCAAGCCTGTATTCTGTAGTTCCTGAGCTTTGCTCAGGAGACACAGCAGTTTGTCTTTTTGAGTCTTCCTTTATTTATAATTTATTTTAATTATATTTACTTATTTGTGTGTACCTGAATACACACACATACTTTTATTATAGATGTACTTACACATACTTACCTGCATATACACATGCACTTGCAGACATGCATATTCTACACACAGTTGCACTTATACACACATAAGTATTTGCAAACATACATGTACCTGCACACACCAATCTACATACACAAATGCAGACACATGCATCCACATACATATAGGTAGCAGAACACAATACAACACAAATACATGTTCCCCCTTAGATCTAGACACACACATGTGCACACATATGCCTATATACATATGCACGCCAAGTGAGTGCAAACACACACATATATACCTGAATATGCAAATGAATCTGCAGAAATGCACCATACACAACAACACACACATGAACACACATATACACACCCTCACACACACACCAGCACACACGTGAACACACATATACACATTCTCACACACACACACCAGCACACACGCGAACACACATATACACACCCTCACACATACACCAGCACACACGCGAACACACATATACACACCCTCATACACACACCAGCACACACATGAACACACATATACACATTCTCACACACACACCAGCACACACGCGAACACACATATACACACCCTCACACACACACCAGCACACACATGAACACACATATACACACCCTCACACATACACCAGCACACACGTGAACACACATATACACACCCTCACACATACACCAGCACACACATGAACACACATATACACATTCTCACACACACACCAGCACACACGCGAACACACATATACACACCCTCACACACACACCAGCACACACATGAACACACATATACACACCCTCACATACACACCAGCACACACGTGAACACACATATACACACCCTCACACATACACCAGCACACACGCGAACACACATATACACACCCTCACACACACACCAGCACACACGTGAACACACATATACACACCCTCACACACACACCAGCACACACGTGAACACACATATACACATTCTCACACACACACCAGCACACACGTGAACACACATATACACACCCTCACACACACACCAGCACACACGTGAACACACATATACACACCCTCACACATACACCCAGGGTGGATGGTCCCTGAAGAAATGACATCTAAGATCTTCTGGCCTTCACATATGCATGTACACATGTGTATACACATCCTTCAGACACACCAAAATAAAAAAAAGACAGACAGAAAGAAAGAAAGATTAAAAAAAAGAAATGATGGCTTAACAGGCAGGAGAAGAGCAGGGAGGCAGGGAGTTTTTTGGGCTTTTGTCATTTAGACTTCAAAGCTGTAAAAATAGTTTACATGAGTGTGACACCATGAAACCAAACTGAGAGCAGACATGGCTGCTGTCAGGACCTCTACCTCCCAGCAGTCTTAACCACCAGGGAGAATTTATTTCAGGCAATTTTCAGCAGAGTAACCTGAGGATACTCTTGACTGCAGGGAGGAGAGGGGTCCCAAGACTACTGGTGAGGGGTCACAGGAGAGCTTCTGGCCTCGGGGGGGTGACCCCTTGGAGGGGGCTTGGAGGGCTTGCACCATTCCCCCTGCCCAGCACCCAAATGGCATGGGAGGTCAGATTATGTTCAGACCTCCTGTGGAGACATTGGCACCCACACTGAGGCAGAGAACTCATCATGGACAGTCATTTCAATAGCAGGTCCAGGGTCTGTGAGCCCCCACCCCCCACCCCCGCAGCTTGCTCTGCCCAGTGGCAGCTCTCCAAAGTCAATTCCATAGGTGACGACTCCTCAGACCAGCAGGTACTATTGTTCAGAAGATTCCATGCTCCTAACAAACTGGCCTCAGACGAATCACCCTGGCTGGTCTTTGAGGCCTAATGTCTTCAATAACTTCTTTGACCAGGAAAATGGGCCAGCGAACCAGGATGACATGGAGTCAAACATGAGAAGGAGAAAAGGAAGAATGAAGGGAAGAAAATGGGGAGGGAAAGGGGGGAAAAGGGGGTGGATGGATGGGTGAGATGAACAGAGGAATGGGTAAATGGAGAGATGGAGGGAATAGGTGGTTGGATGGGTGGATGGATAATGGTTAGCTGTATAGACGGGTGTGTGAATGTGTGTGTCGGTAGATGGATGCTTGGATAAATGAATGAGTAAATGTGTGGGTATATGGATGGTGGGTAGAGAGGTGGGTGAGTGGACATGTGGATGGATAGGTGGATGATGGGCGGGTACGCATGGAAGAGGAGGAAGTGAGGAAATGATTTTTTAGTAGGTGAAGCCTGGGGAAAACATGGCAGACCAGGCAGACACTATAGCGGCCTGCAGAGTAACGTGTCCTCACAGGCAGTGAGAGCAAGGGTAAAGTTCAGCTGCCATTCCCACCAGGGGCTGCTCATCTAGTGGTCACAGGAGACCTCAGAGACAGGGGCTGATGCTGCTCCTGGCTACAGAGAAGAAAAGGCAATAGTCTCTAGCCATGTTCAGAGTTACATCGCTGGCCCATAGGTGGTTCCTGGCACTGAGCTGAGGCTCACAAGGATGCAGGGTCACATGGGTACACAAACATACTTTGGGTCTGGGATGACCCAGAAATCTAAACTCAACCACAGGTACAGGGAAGTTGACCAGGCATCTACAAGCCTTCCGAGGCTGTCAAGCAAAACCAAGGAGAAGAGGCCCCTAGTAATAAATCCCCAGAATCAGACCCAGGCCTAAATACTTCTGTGACCCAGATAGCTGCTCAGTAACTGGAGTAACTCCCAGCTAGGTAGGGAGTCACAGGCCCAAGGTTGACCCCACTGATTGCCATAACTTGACAGCCCTGAGCACTCTCTGCAGGATGGACTAGAACATCAGGTAGACCTATTTGACCCTTAAGGCTGTTTCCAAAGCTTGAGAATCTTGGCAGGGTTTCCAGGGAGGGCACATGAGGAGAGGGAGGCTGACAGAGGCCCTGCTCAGGCAGATGTAAATGGGAGAGGTGGCATCCTACAGCCTCTCTGTTCCTCCATCCATGCAGACCCTGGTCCTGCAGAGGCATCAGAG